TAAAGATCTTTTCTTTTCTTAACAGGTACTATTATACTAAATATTTTCAAAGCAGTCAGTTCAATATTTAAGGAAATAATTGTTTCTATTTCATAATAATACCTAGAATACCCATATCAAATTTAAGGTTTCTAAGATTAGCAAAACTTCCAAAAATGCCCAATCTCTACTCTTTATTATGACTTTCTTTACCCAGTCTCTTATCTCCTTTCCCCATAGCAAAATAATTTTATGATCCTGAGCAAAGGGTGTCATTCTATTAATGGCATTCTTTATTAATGACATCGATGATGTCATTTTATTAATGACATTGCCTGTATCTCAAACTTTCTATCCTACTGATCAAGGCAACATTTAAAATAAATGTAATAGTGTTTGAACCAATCAGAAATATGACAAAATGGAATACGCTTGGGTGAAAATGACTTTTTTTTAGAATAGAAACTATCATGAGATTTATCTTTGTAAAATCCTTACTAATTGTACAAAGGGCTGCGAATATTAGTGGAAACCGAATAGAGGATCTATATAAAAGCCCACATATTAAGGTCCTCTGCTTTATAAAAAAGGCAACTCTGGTCTTAAAAAAAATGTGCTTTAGCCATTGGATATTTATATAAAGCATCTTGAAATTTACCTCATGCCATACACAAGAGTCAATTCCAGATGTACAGAAGATGTAAATGTGAAAAGGCAAACAATAAAGCTTCTAGGGTGGTGTTGTCCAATACAGTAGCCACTAGCCATCAATTGTTGGAAAACAATTTAAAAAGTCAATTCTTCAGTCATACTAATGGCATTTCAAGTGTTCAGAAAGTGTATATAGCTAGTAACTGCTAGTAACTTCTAGGGCAGTGCCGTCTAAAATACAGAAAGGTGCCCAAAAAATTGTATACACATTTTAAGAAAGGAAAAACTGTATGAAAATGGTAATACTCAATATATACTGATAACAAAAGATGAATACAAGTCACGTTTGACTTCTGCAATTATAAGAGGTGCTCAAAGTGGTTACCATCAGCGTAATTTTAATACAGTTTTTTTCCCTGTCTTAAAATGTGCATATATATTTTTTTTGCACCCTCTATATTTTCATCATTACCGAAAAAACTTGTATTGGGCAACAATTTGTCTAACAAGAGACAAAACGTGCTAATATAAAGGAAAAAATTATATACAAATTAAAATTAGAAACTTCTGTTCATATACTTTACTGTCATAAAACTATAAAAATGAGAAGAATTTTAGTGCCATCATTATATAAATGGACTTCATTAATTTAATGTAACAAATGAGGTGTTTTACATAAATTAATTTGCTATTATTCAATTTAACAATAGAAAGCTGTAGATTCAGGTTCAGGTCTATTTTCAATATTTCATGATTTGAATTTCACTAATACTAATTCCAACTGGTTCCTTCCCAAGGTTATACCATCTTATTAAATACCACCACCATTTATTTTATCTAGTTGCTAAATTAAAAATCTAGTGGCCATCCATGATTCCTCTTTTTCTCACACACATTTAATCCATTTCTGGATGTCTTTAAGAGTACCACCCACATTCACTCCCATGTTTATCTATCAATAGGAAATTTTTTGAAGTAACAGTCCAGACTTAAGGATTTAGCAAATTTGTTTTTCCCTCAGGCAGTCTCTTGATAGTTCTATAATGAAAAGCAAGAGAAGATGGTCAGAAGCCAAAATTTCAAACGTTTCAAACAGACATTTCGAAGTTCAGTTTGTGCCATATTGTTCTTACAATGCTAAATCTTTTACCACTCACTTGGAAGTGTATTTATTATGTTCAAAGGAGTTGCTCAGATGTCTGCTGTGTTGGTTTTCAGCAGTACAGAGAGGCTGAGATGAATAAAACTCATGGGAGAGCACATCAGGGACAAGCTGAGAAGACAGAGAGCCAAGCTGAACAAGAATCACACATGACTTTCTGATGGAACCCCAGAAAGATGCTCTATGTGGTGGGCTCACCTCCATGTGAAGGAGTATTGCACACCTGCGGCTGTGACTGAGCACCAGATTAACTCATCAAGATAGAACTGCAGCTGGCTTTGACTGCCACTAAGGATCTCATGTCACTGCTTGGCCTCAGGACAAAATTCTTTTACTCTGGTTTGCCATCTTCTCTTTTAAGGAGTAGCTTACAGTGAGTTATTCTTCACTTAATTATTTAATATCACTTGTTTAACAATAATAATAATAGTAATGGTAGCCAATACTGCTTATTATATACCAAGCACTGTTTAATATGCTTCACATGCATTGAACACCTTTCCCCGACAACTCTAGGTAGTAGGTACGGTAATTGTCCCATTTTATAGATATAGAAACAGAAACATAGGTAATAAGTAATTTGCCCCAGATTATACAGTTAGTGAGGGACAGAGCTGATTTAGGCACCTGACCTCAGAATCTGCCATCTTAATCATTATAGGGGTTTAAATGTAAATGCCTCAAAGCCAGGCAGGCAATAATAGGCATATGAATTGAACTGGCCAGGTCTACAGGCTAAAATGGGGAGTGTGGCAATCTCTCGCAAATCGGAAAGGGTTTGGCCAACTCACCAACAAATCATATTGGTAGTTGGAATGTATTTATTAAAGTGAAACCTATCTCAAGGGCTTACACTTTATCCAAGTCGCTTACTGAACAAATATGGATACAATTCTCCGTTTCCCAAGTTTCTTAAAAAGTTTAGTCCCTCCTCTTCCTTCTACCCTTAATGAAGTGCTAAATTCCTTTGAAGACTCCAACTTAAGGTTTCTGCAAGCTCTAAAGTTCCTGGGTTTAGTCTGGGCTATATTCTAGCTCCTTTGTATGTGCTATGGGCTCTCTTTCAAGCTTTGGGAATGTTAATGAACAAAAATTCAGTTGAATAAATTTAAAGATCTAATTGGCTTTATTGAATGATTCATGAATTGGGCAGCATCCCATCTAATCTACAGGGGAGTGCTCTGAGAAGCTGTATAAAGTGGAAGGTTTTTAGAGGCAGAAACTGGGCAAAACAAGAAATTTATTAGCAAAACAATACAAAGGTTGATTCAGGAAAGGGTACCTTTTTGGGGGTGAATGGTGACAGGGGTCTTATGAAGCAGATTACCTCATTACTGTTGATCAGGAAATCCCAGGCTGATTAGTTACAGGTCATGTTCCTGGGAGAGACTGAAATCGCAAGTAAATCTTAGTTTGTTATCCTGGGGTCAAGCATCTCCAACTTGGGCCTGTTGTTTGTTTTTTTTTCTTTGGTATTCTTAAATTTCACTATATTGTGTCCAGACATTCTCTAGCTGGTCGATAACCAAATTGACGTGAGGCAGGTTAAGAGGAGTAAAAGACCAAATTTATTACGACAAATTAATAAAACAAATTTATTAATTGTCCATACGGGAATTCCATAAAAATTGGAGACCTTAGGACATATTGGGCAGGTAAGTTTGTATGCCATCTTGAGGTAAGGGGAAGGATGTGTGTGTGTGTGTGTGTGTGTGTGTGTGTGTGTGTGTGTGTGTGGCAAGGGTAGGGAGCACTTGTGGTTTGGGACTTCAAAGGAAAGGAAGGCAAATAAATGTTTGCTGGGCCATCATTAACAATGAGACAGGAGAGGACTTGGAACAAAAGGGCCTAGGTAGGGTCCTTCCTGTGCGCCACACACTGGTTTATATTAAACTACAGTTATCTATGATAATACCTCCCGTCCTAGAGCAGTTCCTCTGTCTAAATTATTTTAGGCAGTTAGGGGGGAGGTCAAAGGTTTTTCCTGAGTCTTTCTTTTCTTAAAAATAAGCAGCTTAAAATCATCAGTATCCCAAAAGACATATTTTGGAGTGGAAGACTTTGTTTCATCTCATTCCTTAAACTGAACTTCCAGTTCTGTATTTCATGAGTTATTTATAATTATAAATAGTTATAATTATATTTATATTCTATTCTATTCTTTATTTAGCCTATTACACCTTTCACACATAATATTTCTGCTCGGTGCTTCTTATGGTTTCTTATCCTTGTTGAATAATTTAAATAGCTTCTCTTATCTCTTCTAGTTATTATGCTAAATTATATTACTTGGTCATTTATTCTACTTTGCTTCCACTGGAATATGAATTCTAATTTATTTGTCATTTTGAAATAGTTGTGCTTGTTAAGTCCCTCTCTTTATCTCTCTCTCCTCTCTCTGTGCCTGTGAGATCATATTCCCCCAGGGTTATTGGGTAATTTATTTGGAAATGCACAAGGGTTAAGTGAGGAGGATCCTGTAGTCCCTGCTTGTTCAACATATTTGGTAGCAATTATAACTGAAACCTCTCTTCCACTCTTTCTATTCTACTTTCCAGATATGCTAGAAAACATGCTCTGACCACAGAGCAATAAATTTAGAAGTAAATAATAAAAATATATAAATAAAATTAACTTGTACTTGGAATTTTTTTTTAATTGCCAAATAACTCATGAGTTAGAAAGAAAATAAAATGGAAAATTTCGAAGAGCTAGAAGTGTATGTTAATAAAACACTATATATCAAAATGTATAGGGCTGCATAAGCCATGCTTTAAGGGAACATTGTTCTTTTAAATGCATATATTAGAAAGTAAGAAAGGCTGTAAATTAATGAACTAAATGTCCAACTCATGAATTTATAAAACAAGTAACAAAATATACCTAAGTATAAAGAAAAATAAAATAAAAATAAATGACATAAATTATAAAATAGAAAGCAAAGGTACAATAAAGTATCAAAAATACAATAGAGTAGGGGTGACATGGGGAAAATGGCAGAATAAGAAGCCTCAGACCTTCCTTCCCCCCACAGAGAAATCAATTCAATAACACTGCATGGACCAATTCCTCAAAAAAAATATAGGATATCAATTTTGAACATTTATTTTAAATGGAGACATACTTTGACAACTGTACTTACCAAATGAGAATCAAGAAGAAATTAAAAGCCTGAACTACTAAAGAATTAAAGTAGCATTCCCCCAAATAAAACTTGAGCTACAAATAGTCTCATTGGCTATTTTATTAAATGTTTAAAGAACAAATGACCCCTAACTTATGAAAATTTCAAGTCCCCATTCCTAGGATAAAAGTGACTGTTCTATAGCCATGATAACAAGTAAACCCCAGAAGTGTGTTGAACATATAAGAGAGTACTTCATAGGAAAGCTAGAAATAACATGCTAGCAGATCATTAATCTTAACAGGCTGTAATGACTAAAGTCTTTAAGCGATGACTCTTCATTGAGCAGCAAAAGAAATCCATGGAGATATTCAGGATTTGCCCTTTATTCTGAAACGAGACAGTGGAAACAACCAATGTGTAAAATGCATGAGATTAAGATAACACTAGATAGTTTCAAATTGGCGCTTGATAAGCTCTTCCATGAGGCAACCCATCATATTCAGGACATGTTGGGTTTCTTAGTAAACAGACCCTAAGAAGAAATCTTTCTACGATGGCAAAGGATGTCTCATCTGTAACTTTATTCCCTTGATCAGGCCTGGGAAATTTTCCAGAGAGCCTTCCAAACCCTTTTTATAGTATTTTAATTACATTTGTTTCCTCAGAGTCATTTGTTATCTAATAATTATTGTCCAGAGTATCAAATTATTCTACATAACTTTTGTCCAAATAGATGACACAACAAATGACTCAAAGCCAAAAACAGGATAAACTCATCTGACTGAAACTCAATGGAAAATCAGACTCTTGCAGATAAAACTGCGTGTTCAAGAGGAACCAACAGAAGTGATGGGAAGCTAGACAGTCCCTGATGGTCTCATGTGCAGCTTGGTTGATGGAAAACAAAAAGGGGGACCTGAGAATTTTATAAGCTCCCACACTACTAAGAAATTGTTGATTCTTCTATTGTTGTATGTGGTATAATAATAATTATATAATTATAATAATAATAATAATAATAATAATAAATACATTCTTGGCACAGAGTTTCAAAAACCTTTGGGATTTCCTGAGTGATAGAAGTGTCTTTTCTTACTCACAACAAGCACATTTCAACAATGAATTTATGCTAGCAAGGTGTCTCATGGTGGGGCCACAGAAAGTTTCAACAGAGGGGCTGGCCAAACATCTAATAGGAGAATTGGAACTTTCAGTCCCACCTCCCCACTTCTGAGGAGAGAAGGGGGGCTAGAGACTGAATTTAATCATGTGGCCAATAATTTCATTAATCATATTTGTGTAAAGGGGTCACAACAAAAACTCTTGAACAAGGAGGCTGAGGAAGCTTGGTAAACACACTGATATTTTGGGAGGGTGGTGTGCCTAGTTTCCAGGAGCAGACAACAAGAAAGTTCTTCCCCTTCCTACCCCCCCCACCCCCCCCAAGTCCAACCTTGTCCGATGCCTTTCTTCCATTTGTCCATTCCTGACTTGTATCCTTTGTAATAAAACTATAATCTAAACCATGGCATTTTCCTGAGTTCTGTGAGTTTTTCTAGAAAATTATCAGACCTGAAGGGGGAAGAGTTGTGGGAACTCCCAAATGTATAGCAAATCAAGCATGAGTGCCGGGACCCTAAGGCCCCAGGACTTCTGGCTGGTGTCTGAGGTGGAGGCAGTCTTAGGGGACTATGCTAACTCCATGTAATTTCAGAATTACATTGAATTGTAGGTGACCCAGTTGGTTTCAGAATATCGGTATAAGAAGTGGTTTTAACCTTGTTTAATGAATCAATGACAACTTCTGTGAACATGCCTTTGAAAGCTGACCAATCAGTGACAGCCTCACATTATGAAAGTCAGCCAATTTTCAGTGGATTTACTCCAAGCTATACTCCTAAGGCTAATATTATCCCATCCCCCTTCTGTAACCAACACAGCCATGTTTCGGTAACATTGATATCATCACGCTCCTATCCTTATATCCATCATAACCCAAAACAAATCTTCCCCCAAACCATATGTCACCGGTCATTTGTTTGTCCAATGTGACTATACCTGATGACCATAGCTCTCTCTGTTACTTAAATAAGGCTTTTTTGCCAGAGAAGTTAGGTGGTGGTCTGATGTTTTGATAGTTATATAAACTCTGTTTGTGCTCCATTTACCTCTACTAGAGCCTGAAAAGTGCCCCCAGGAAGAAAGTCAGGGTGAACTTGGAGGTCACTTCATATAGTTCCTTTCTTTCAAGCATCACAGACCTGAACTATTTGGGGTCTCATGCTTAAAAACCAGTTCCTTCATTTTTTGGTCCAGATTTATAGCTATTTGCTCAAAGCATAAATGGATACCTGTTGCTCTCTTACGGCTGCAGATAGAAATTAACAGTAATGTTTTTACATGCCACTCTTTATAACATTCTAAAAACTACATCCTTTGCAAATATTTATGATGAACTATTTTAGGTACAAACTTTAAAATGTGTGTTTGAGTGAGTTGCAGAGATGAAGATGGGGGAACGATGAGGTGTACTTGTACATTTTTGGTTGTGGTGCTTACAATCAGCAGGCTCCCAGCTATGATGTCCTGAAAATTGGAAGGAAGTCCCAAGCTAAAAATTGCAATTTTTGGAGTTTTGTCATAGAGTCTCATTCTGGAGTTCTCCAAGTGGATGAAACCACCTAATTAGAGACAGTCTATTGAGGAAAAAGAAAAGTACCTAGAAGCAAGTCCTGAGGAACCCCAATATTTAACTGTTACTTGAGGAGGTGGAACCAAATAAAAAAAACAAAAAATAAGAGAAAGAAAAGTGGAAGAAAAAATATGAAAACACAATTTACAAAAGCATAAAAGCCAAGGGAAATTATTTAAGAAAGATGAGTTATCCTCTATGTTAAAAGTGCAATGAGGACAAACTGAAAGGTGGCCAGTGGACCTCACGGTGTGGGATAGTCTTGAATACCGGTACCTCAGAGATGTTGCAGGTTCGGTTCCAGACCACTGCTTAATAAAGCGAGTGTTGTAATAAAGCGGCTCATAATCTTTTTGCTGGTGGAAGGGTGTTGCCTTCAATTTATTTATTTTTGTTTTAAGTTTTTTTTTCAGTTACACTTGGCACCATAAAAAAGAATGAAATGAAATGTTACCATTTGCCTCCTGTTTCTCAAAAATGCAACTCCCGAGAAGCATACTAAAGTGAAGCATGATAAAATGAAGAATGCTTGCATGTTTAAATTGTGATGCTAAGTGTTCAGAAGGAGGGTGGGGATTCAGACAGGATAGGGCCACATGAAAGACTACTTGAATGGCACACGAGGATGTGGTCTGTAGCACATGTGACAAGATTGGCCTCAGATAGGAGCCTTTGGACATAAGCATCTCTAGAGGGATTAAGAACACCTTCCTTTAACCCTCTCAAATCCACTCATGTGTCTAGATATAATCAAGAGTACTCTTCACATCAAGTACACATTTTTTAACAAAGATGAACTAACCTATTTTTTGAATTGAAGAAAATATGGCACCACTACCCACACCCCCTATCTTCCTACCCTGGTTCTCGTGCAGACTGTTTTAATAGTACAGCATTCTTCCCCTGGTGGTTCTGCTTGAAGTAAGATGCTATATGAGTAATTTATCTTGAATCTTGACTTCACCCCACTGTTTCTTTTATTTCTTTTGCCAAGCTTCTATTCAGAAAAATTCACAGGGGGTTTGGTTGGATAGGAAGGCATTGCTCAAACAAGAAGACAATGCCAACTATAGCAGTCTCATCCCATTACAGTTCTCTGTAAAGTTCCTATCCTCCTTCTCTCCTGCCAGCTCATGCATTTCAGAGCAGGATAAGCTTTCCAATGGCTGCATGTCTCCGATCAGTGTTGTATCAAAAGCATGAGCTCCTTTTTCATTGACTCATCTCCCACTCAAGGAAGCAGAGAAAAATAATCATTATTAGATCAACAGGTTTATCTTGCTTACGGAGACAAAATTTAATAAACAGCAGGAATAAAAGCATTGTGTTACACATGCTTAAGATTCATTTATTAATTTCAGTATATTTTAAATCAAATATGTGACTGATGTTCTTAGCAAGGAGAAATAGTCATAAATCATGTTTCATGTAAAGAGAGCAGAGATTTATGCTTCAGGTGATGGGAAGTTGAGGTGGGTCCCACTTTATGGCTACTCCCTTCCTTATGAAGTCGGAAGCAAGATAATTTGCTAAGAACGAAGAAAGTTGAGGCATAGTGCTGAAGTTGAAGAGAATGGGATGAGTTTAAAAGATACTCCCCCAAATTAAGAGAGACATGGCTAGAATAACAGCAAGGAACCAGTTGATCTTTAGTTACATTGATACCAATATTCCCTCTGTTTTGTTTTCCTCTAGAGAAGCTCAGCAGGCTGCATTTAGGATGAGAGAAAGCAGATAGTTGAAATCATAAAAACTAGGATTTTTTCCAGGTGAAGTTAATAAGAGAATATATTGGCAATGTGTTTCTGGGTATTGACTAGAAATTGATAAAGACAAGAGAGGACATCCACATTTGAGGCAAGTTGAGAGTCCAAGAAAAGATGGCAGGCAGGCAAGATTGGCAGGCAAAATGGAAGACTATCCAAGAGATTATATGTAGAGAGTGAATGCTAAGAGCTGTGAAGGATTTGATTTTACCCTATGTGCAAAGTCATCAATTAGCTTGCCACACCTTCATGGATGTGGGCGAAAGACACAGACTCTCAATTCAGAGATGAATGACGGTTGATTACTCATGGGAATAAAACTAGCCAGAATGTAATCGATTTTGTACTGGTTCTCTAGGCCCCAACTTCCACATAGTAACACAAAGAGCCAGATGCCACCTGCACATGCAAGTTTGACTACAGGTGAAGAAACCTGAGTTTAGGGAACCCAAATGTTTTATAATGGGCGTGAGCATGTCTGCCCTTTGCTTTGGGAGTTGTGAGCAAACATGGCCCTTGTTCCGGAAGGAGACTCTTTAATTCTTTGAAGCAATTTTCTACATACCTATTTTTTTTAAGATAGTTCAGAATAAAGGGCAATTAATACCTCAAGTTCAGGAAGGGCATAAATGTGGCACGACCATGGAGATTTATCTTCTGACAGTGGGCATCTGATTTATGGATTTTGTGAGAGAAATAATTTCAAGTAATGACAGTTTCCTGGCTTTTGTTTTTGAGAGTTCATGGCTGAGAAGATAAATGAACCAAGAGTTGGATGTGTGGCTTCATTCAACTGAAATTTCTTAGGATGAGGGCAAAGGTTGGAGTTGAAAGGAAAATAGGAGTTAAAGTCTTCAATGGGGAGTATAGTACATAGGTGTAACAATGTGCTATACGTAATGTACATATACGTATAGGACAAATAGGAC